AAAAATGTTTGACTTTGTTGCAGTTCTTTTTATCTTACCCTGTAATATGTGAAGGAAGTAACCGATTGTCTTCCACTTTCACGATTCCTAATATTTCTAACAAACCTAGGTCCGATATGAAGATGGGATTGATCTGACCACTACTTCTGGTAACTCCCCCACAAAAGATCAAAATTTAGAAGGATCGCAAAGCTTTTAAAAAATTTGCAAAATTTAGCTATGAATAGATCAATTTTCAGCGTACCATATTTAAAGGGACTAGAAACGTTCTTTATGGGATAAAATCAATTTATTTCTTTTAAACAATAGTTTGTCTTCTATTGTCTCCCGTATTGCCTGCAGCAAATTATTTGTAAAAAATTGATTTGTAAATAAATTACTGATATAGGCAATATATATTCGAGATAAGAAAGAGATGATAAGTAAAATCTGACACATTTCTAATTAGAACAACAATCGAAAAGCAATTACTTTCCAGAGACAAATTTGATTTATAGGAGTGTGTCTGGAAATGAAAGTCTCTTATAGATAAAGTTCTCGGAAATAGTTTTCCTTTCTGTCGCTGAACTGCCCATGAATTCTCCATATCCGAATATGATAGATTTCTCACATGATGGCGTTATTAATTTTTGCAAAATGCGTTGTTTGCAAATTTAGAACACAAGCACACCTATATATTTGGATCAGATATCATGGATTATTAACAATAACAACAATGGATCAGACTAACACCACTCCAACGAAATCCAATTGCGATAAGTTTTTTTTTTTTTTTGGATTTAGTCATTGTCATTTTGTTGTTATTGTCTTGGGCGGACGAAATTTATTGTGTCGGAATTACGTTTCCATTGATGAATATCAGCGCCGCGATAATTCACTTCTTTTTTTTTTGAGAATTGCAATACTTTAGTCGCGGCGATTAGCAAACGACGCGAATATTTATCTCTTCGAGTGTCATAAACTAACTATGTCGAGGGTGGGGAGGACATGGCAGTGGCGCGCTTATCGTCGCCGTGGCAGCCGTTTTTCCCGCTATCAACGGTGAAAAAGTTGTACTTGTTCACAATAATCTTATATGCGTTGTTGGAATTCATGTTTCAAATTTATTACCTTCATGTAATAAATCGAACAATAAAATGGGGCCACGAAAGATGCCAACAATATTGGTTGGGTTATAAATATCATTCGTTTTTCGATCGTAAATATTTTGCAAGGAAGGAGTTCGCGAAAAGATATTATTCGTTTAGATTTTGAATAGCAGCAGGATATGGTAATGCGATTAGAATGAAGTTCCAAAATTACTGGTGATGGAAAATTGTAAGGTTTGTTAAATTCTAAAAGACACAACTGCTATAAAGGACTATTTTCTTTAACCTTGTAATGTTTGTATTTAGGATACCAATCCGTTGGACTATTGTGTCTGGAGTATTTTGGAAAGCAAGGTTGGCACCAAAAAATACCATGGGCCAAAGTACCGCAGAGCAACATTTGGGCAGCGTGTGGCCATAATTCGTGCCAAAGGTGACTAATTCGAACAAATCTAAACTTATTCTAAAAATTGATGCTATTTCCGTCATTTTTTGCTTTCATTCAATAAAATTTAAAAAAAAAAATTAAAAATTATGGCGTTTGACTTTGTTGCAGTTTTTTTATCTCACCCTGTATAGTTTTATATGGGAGATATAGCAAAATTTGTACAGAAATCTTCGCCTATAAGTATGGTTTTCAATAGAGATATATAAAAACTTGAAGCTTAGTAGGCAATCGTCTGGTACAGTGGTTGGTATATATCGCGATTTACCAAATATATGCATTGAAAAAAACATGAAAATGCTTAATACCTTGGGGTGTATCAACTGGGAGTTATAGGAAAAAGTGGGCCTATATAGACATTGTTCAGCCACAAAAGATATAACCCTTTACGAATATATAGCAAATTTAGAAAAAAAATCTGTTAGAAAATGTAGTCGTAATCGTCAAAATACCGAGTATACTGAGGTAACGTTATTTTCATATAAGGTAAAACCAACTAGAATACTGAATTCATTGAGATCCTTAAATGACGGTTCCATCAAATTTTGGACCACATTTTTTTTTTTTTTTTTGGGAGAAGTTGACATTTCCCTTGAAAAGCCGAAATTTTAAATTACAGTCAAAAAGTTGAAAATTGATATGACCCACTTAGCTCATTTTCAATATAAATTATCGTAGACACAATGCTAACTATTATGATAAATTTTCAAAACAGACAGACAGACCAAGTGACGGACTTCATTATGTCGGCTTAGAATTTTATGCTGATCATGAATACATATATTCATTGCTTGAATCCGTTGAATATTTTGAGATGTTACAATGGAAAGAACAATTAAATGGACTCTCTTTCTATGGTAGAGGGTATAACAAAAATTAGGATCTACACTTTTTTCTGTTCTAAATATACCCTCCACCATAAATAGTATGGAGGATATATTATGTTCGTCATTCCGTTGGTCACGAAATAGTTATTTTTGACCTAAAAAAGTGTATATATTCTTGATTAGCGTAAAATTCTAAGACGATTAAGCTAGGAAGCTACAATTTTGCACAGATCAATCTTTTGTCTGCAGGCAGGTTCGAAAATGGGCTATATCGGTCCACCGAATCGTATAGCCCCCACACAACGGTACCCCCCGTTATTCAGTATTTTGACGATTTTGGCCAAATATTTAAATACAATTGTCTGAAAATCCACAGAAGGAGTTACTTCTGAGTACTTTACCCTCTGGAAGTACTTTACACTATAACGGTACCTCCCTATATTCGGTATTTTAATGATTTTAACTACATTTTTCAATGGAATTGTCTAAATACCCATACTAGAAGTTCTTTCTAAGCACTTTACCTCATGGAAGAAAAATGTCTATATAGGTCCACGATATCATATAGCTCACATACAACAGTACCTCTCAATATTTGGTATTTTGATGACTTTAGCGACATTATTGATCGGAGTTGTTTAAAATTTTGTATTTAGAGTCATAATGGGAACTATAGTCTGTGAAGTTGAAGTTCCTAATAAGTACTACTGCCTGTCACAGAATAATTTTCTATGTAGTCCCGGTCATCGTATAGCCCCGATATAACAGTTCCTCCCTATATTCGGCATTTTAATAATTTTAGCTACATTATTCACCGGATTTTTTTATACCCTACACCACATGGTGGTAAGGGTATTATATCTTTTTGCATTTGTTTGTAACATGGAGAAGAAAGCGAGATAGACCCATAGTTACTTTTGAGGATCTCCATAGAATCACATTCTGAGTTGATTTATGCATGTCAGTCCGTATGTCCATCCGTCCGACCGTCTGTCCATGTATTCTTGTGAACAAAATGCTGGTCGCATTTATTATTCGATTGCGATGATATTTTCCAAACAACATTTGTTTGGCCCAAGGACGAACCCTATTAAAATTGGAGATAATCGGTAAAAATTTAGATATAGCTCCCATATATATCTTCGTCCGATTTGCCTTTTATTGTGCACCAAACGTGTAATATCAGCCCGAATAATATGGAATTTTGCACATACAACCAAATTAGGCCTGAAAATAAGTATGCCAAATTTGATCGAAATCGGTTCAGATATATAGCTCCCATATATATTGTTCATCCGATTTGTTATATTTGTCCTCCGCAGCCGTAATATGCACTCTGTAACAACAATATTTGGGGAAATATATAAAATACTGTTCAGAAATAGCTTTGCTAAATTGTATCGAGATCGGTCCGGTTTGGATATATTATGTATAACTTTGTGCGATTTACCTTTTATTGCGCACCAAACGTCTAATATTTGCCCAAATTAGATGGAATTTGGCACATACGACCGAATTGAGTCTAGAAGCTAGTATGCCAAATTTGGTGAAGATCGGTTCAGATATAGCTATAGCACCCATATATATTGTTTATCCGGTTTGTTATATTTTTTACCCACAGCCGAAATTTGCACTCCGTAACAACGATATTCAGGGAAATATATCAAATACAGCTCAGAAATGTCTTTGCCAAGTTTTATCAAAATCGGTTCATTTTTGGATATAGCTCCCATATATATCAAATGGGCAATACAAGTCCGAATTAAAAAAAGATGCAAATGCTTCGACATATTTAGTCTTTTGAACTTTAAATTATAATTATAATCATAGCGTATATAATTGAATTCTCCCATAAAAACTTTTAATTGTTATGTGGAGCTCTACTAAATTAGCAAAGTGGTGTAGGGTATCATCAAGTCGGCCTCGCCCGACTTTAAGACTTTCTTTACTGGTTTTTTGATTTATTTATGCACACTGGTAATAATACTAAATTTTGTATGGAATCGAAACTATAGCTATTCCAGCAATAATACTCATTACAAATTCCGTTACCAACCCATTATTTTAGCAAAGGAATGGCACACGAAATAAGTAGTTTTTTCTCTGGAGATTCAAAGGTGATTAAGTAAATACTTATTTTGCATTTGTATTAATAATTTTTACTAGGTATACCATAACCTTACTGTCAATTTCAGTTAAAAACTCACTGTTTTTAAAAAAAGGGAAAATAAGAATTCCCTCATAAATAATTTCCGTTTTTACGAAAGTTCACAGCAAATATTGCATAATTTTGTTTTTTTTGTTTTTTTTTTGTTTATTTCTCTATGTTGTTGTTTTGTTTTTAACTTTTAAGATAGACAGAATTTTCACAGAAAATAAAATTTATCAGACATAAATCTCACAGTTCTCGTATCACATTTTTTTCTCACAATTCGTTCGCCAAATACAAAGTGATCGTTCGCAGATGATAGAGTTTAATGACTCCTCAGAGTGTTTTTATTTTTGTTTGTCTCTCTAACAGGAGATATCAGTTTTTTTAATTAATAAAAATGTTTGTCATTTGTTTTAATTCATTTCAAAAATGAAAAAAGTTTCCTTTCACTAAATAAATATATAAACAAATTGGAATGAATTCAATACCGTTTTCATCCGTCATCTTGTAATCAGCCTTTCAGGGTAGAACAAAGTTTTTTTTTTGGGAATTTTTGTCTATTATCCTTGCGCGCTTGTTATCCACATTCGCGTATAAATTTATTAACGATTAGCAAAAACAACAACAAAAAATGATGTTGAAGTCTTCGAACAGAACTTTGAGGATGTTTTTTTTGGATTTGTGTGTAGCCGTTAGAACAGGGTTACGTTCCAGTTAAACGCGTCCTCGTCTGTTAACGGCAATTAGCAGACTAACTGAACTTCAATTACAATTTCAGTTAAGAGAGAACAAAGCCTCACTCACACTCTGACACTTGGAGTAAGTTAAACGCGATTAGTGTTGATATTGTATCATGTTGTTGTTGTTTTAGGTATTGTATATGGAGGTACGACAACTGCAATCTTCATTTTTTTTTTTTTGTTATCATCAATGTATTGCCATAAAACATCGAACTCGAAATCAAGAGCAATACAAGTACATTTACCAACAGGCTGGCGGACGGGCTGGCAGTTCGCAACACTTTTACTACCTCCGCTCTAAAGCCGAGCAAAACCAAAAACGAAATAGAAGCATACCGGTAACTGGTTGGGTAAAACCTTACCTCCGCACACTGCTTTCTATCAGATAGATTTCGAATAAGTACACAGCTAAGATGTGATAACATAAATCGCTTATCAGTCGTTTTTTTAGAATTTATGAGTAGAATTTTGGAGGGTTTTGCTCTGTGGCCCCCACATACCTCTGCTCTCAATACTCGAGCGAGCATTATTGAGTTATTGACGTTAACACATTTGAAATGGAATTTTTCAAGGAGTTGAAGAGCAAAAAGTAAAAGTTTAAATCATGTGCTAAGTGGTGTGTAGAGGACATGTGAGAGATATAATCACAGGACTGAATCATTGGTATTTCAGATTGAAGTAAAAATTTATAAATTTTACAGTGAAATATTTTTAGGTCCATATTTTGCAGGTGAGAAATTTCCAGTTTGATGCAGCTATTGGGGAAATAGAAAGATTACAATACCTAATGTGGACAAAATTTTTAAAGCAGATCATTTTTTATTTTATCACATACGACGAAACAGCTACATCTGACCAGATTTTCACAAAAAGTTCATACCTGCCGACAGTTGTATACCCTCAGCCGATGCATGTACATTTAACTATATTTTGACTTGCGTTATGGGCACATTAAATATTACAACGTGCCAGATTTGGACTATATCGACTACTTCCCTTTATTTATATGTGATATGAGATAATTTTTGGAAAATATTGAAATATGCATGAGGTTCAAGATATAGTGGACCCAAGTGTTCCACTTCATTTAATGCTGATAAAAAATATTGGGATGTGGAAAATTTCTATAAAATTTAACACTTTTTTCCAATTTTATTTTCATCATTTGTACATATTTTTTTAAATTTTATTGAATGAAAGCAAAAACTGTAGAAAATAGCATAAAATTATAGAAAAAGTTTAGATTTTTTCGAATTGGTCCCCTTTTGGTACGAATTATGACCTTCAAACGGCCAATGAAACCGTCACACGCTGCCCAAATGTTACTCCCGGCGAAGCGCTTGCTTGAGGTGATCGACACTTTGGTATTTTTTAGTGCCAACCTTGCTTTCCAAAATACTCCAGACACAATAGTCCAACGGATTGGTATCCGGAGATTTTAGTGGTTATTGTGCGCTGGAAATGAAGCGAGGCGTGTGCTGAATGCGATGATGCTGAGTCCTGTCCAAGGTCTGCGGCCAAAATGTTTGCGTGCCCAAGACTTTAATACACTCTCCAGAATATTTTCGCGATAATATTCGACATTTATTCTGTTGCCACGGTCGATTAATTCGAGAGGATAGCAATCATCGCCTGTAATGACGGCTTACACCATCGCCATGACTGGCGCTTGAGTTCTGGTGTCCAACCGAAGCTGCACTTTTTGAGCTGACCTCTTTGGAAAGTAAACACGATCACTTTGTTTGTTTACAAACTGCTGGACAACGAATATTTTTACATCGGAGAAAACGAAATTCGGCAGTTCAACACTTTCGGTCAAGCGAAGCAACTCTTTAGCTCTTTTGAGTCTATTTTCTTTATGTTGCGTTGTAAGTTCTTGCACTTTTTGGAATTTCAATGGCTTTACCCCGAGCTCATTTCTCAATATTTGCCGAATTAAATATTGCGATATGTTCAGCTCACGAGACATTTTTGGCCATTGCGATTAGATTTAGATTTAGTCGCTTCTTTACTTTTCGAACTATTTCTGTTGATGTTGCTGTTTTCTTACGTCCACTTTCTTGACGTCGGACTACGCTACCAGTATCACGGTAACGAGCGATGATGTGAGACACAAAAGATTGATTCACTTTAAAGGCTGGAGTGCTCTAACGATAGGCACTTGTGGTTTTCCAGCCAAATATAAAGAAATCACACTATCACGCATGAATTCCATCACGAATAACATTTTTTCCTGGAAAGTTCTCACCAAAATGCTTTTGTACGCTTGTAAACAATATAATGAGCTGTCACTGGAATAATTTTAACAGCTGTCGGACGAGTGGCTTAGAAGTGACAGCAGTCTGAAGTTGGTTACAGTTTTTTTCATCTCACGTGAATAAGTGGGTCGATAAATCCCAGACTCACATAAGATCTCTGGTTGAAAGGAATATTTAGAAATACCAAGTTTTGAATAGAAACGCTGATTTTTCTGCATGTCATATGATATAAAAATGTGCTATTTTATGGGGAAGTACCAGAAGTGGTGAGCCGATATCTATAATTTTCATCCCAGATCCTGTGTTACAAAAGACAATTTGATGTGTGAAATTTGAGGAGAATTCTTTAGCATTTTATTAGTATTTTGGTTATTTAAAAATTTGATCATCTTCACATCAAATCTTGTGTTAGTAGAATATTGGGATGTGTGAACTTTAAGGAGATTTGAATGCTTATTTCGCATTTTATTAGGGATATAATTATTCAAAATGTTGACCCCTATGTGGGGGAGGTACTAGACAGATCTTGTGCATTGAGATGTAACAAGTTAAAAAACAATCAGATATTAATTTCGCATTTTATGAGCCTTCTGTTATTCAAAATTCTGTCCCCTTTGTGTGAGAGATACTAGAAGCAGTGGACCATCTTCCCACAAGACCTAGGGTCTAGAACCGTTATTTCAATATGTATCAAATGATACATACCCACTTGATATATACCCTTTTCATACCCTCTTAGGGTGTAAAAAGACGGTCTTACCAAATAGTATCGAAATCTGAATAAGTAGTCAGTGCTGGATTGCTGTATTTATTGAGGTATTAAATGCTTCTAATATCAAACTATTCTCGAATTACTAAGTGTGAATATGAAATTGCGTACGATTTGATGATAGTTTTAACTTCTCAATATGTTTAGAACGCGAAATACTCAACTATAGGCGATATGGTCGTAAGTCTTTACTCTACGCTCAAAACCACACATCCTGTCACAAATATTGACACTTGTGTAAACTTTATACCTCGTTAATCTGTCTCGCATAACATCTTGATTGTGTAGTCAATAGTTATAAAAAAATTATATTTAGAAATATTATCGTTCAGTTTTGAAAATAGGTGTGGAGTCAATTATAGCTATGTTTTTTAAAGGTATTAAAATAATAAAAAAATGTCTGATAACCATTTTTCACACGACAGCACGCGTATGAAGAATAAATATTTGCAGTTCTATGTTATATGAAATATTAGCTAGGATACAACTACAGAATCTTATAGGAAGACGTTACAGCAGACGAATAATTCACTTTCGATCATGAAAATTAAAACTATGAGAAATGATTAAAGGCATGTTTACGTTAGAGTTTTTCTTTCGGGTTAACCTTCTTTTTGAAGATTTTTAAAGGTATCTGCAATAAAAACCGACAGGGTTGAAAAACATAGAAAATCCCTTGCAATTTTAACGTACTATAAGATCACTTCTCTCTTTATTTTTACTACAAAGGAAACTGTAACCCTTTTAGTGCCAGAGCGGTTTCGACTAGAATTGCGACAGAACTCTATCTCAATTACATTCACCGCCCTTCTGCATTTGAAAACAAGCAAGAAAAGGCCAAAAGTCGGTCGGGGCCGTCTATATGATACCCAACACCACTATGTATATATAGTAGAGCCCGTAACAAAAGAATTTATTTGATGAAGATCATATTTGGTTTCAGAAGGAACTAATATATGGGAGGCATATCCAATTCTGAATCGATTATATATATACAGGGTGAGAAGTTTAGTTTATACATCAAAGGCTTGATTCTACACTGAATTCGGTCGGATGTGCCAAAATTCAGGTCATTTGGACTGATATTGGTCTTGGTGCGCAGTTAACCCGAAATCGGTTGAAGATATATATGAGATCTATATCCAAATCTGAACCGATCTTGATAAAATTTAGCAGAGGTTTTTCTGACCTGGTACCAAATATCATTCTTGTGGGGTGCATATTACTAATGTTAGGGGCTTAAACACCAAATCTAATGAAACATATATATGGGAGCTATAGTTATATCTGAACCGATTTTCGCCAAATTTGATGTACTTGCGGCTAAACTGAATTCAGTCGGATGTGCCAAATTTCAGATCATTTGGACTGATATTGGTCATTTAGTGCACAATTAACCCGGAATCGGTTGAAGATATATATGGGAGCTATATCTAAATTTGATCTGATTTTCATCAATTTCAATAGGGCTCGTCCTTGGGCCAAACAAATATTGTTTGCAAAATTTCATCTCAATCGGATAATAAATGCGATCTGCATTTTGTTCACAAAACTACATGGACAGACGGACGGACGGACATACATGCATAAATCGACTCTGAAAGTGATTCTATGAAGATCCTCAAGAGTAACTATGGGTCTTTTTCGCTTCCTTCTCATGTTACAACCAAATGCAGACATGACAGGACATGATACCCTTTCCACTATGTGGTGTAGAGTATTATGTCTTTGTGACTGCCAAGAAAGATAGAAGGAGATTTCACCATATCACCCTGTGAATACACCTTAGGTATCACCTTACTGATTAACCTTATATTGGTATCATGTATAAAACGATGTTTTTTATATATCTTTCATTCAAATGTCAACTGCAAATAACTAATGAATGAATTTCCCAAAAAAAAAATATATATCAACGGATGTCAATTCTATAAAATATTCAACAAAT